TTGTCTTTGAAACAATTTAAAGTTGTTCTAAAATATTTTTACTTATTCCCATCAGATACCAGATAAATGAGGAATTGTTGTATTTAACAATTTTGGGGTGTTTTTTTTTTTTTTTTTCAGTTTTACCAGGTTAGAAATTTAATATTTGTGAAACATGTATATTCATTTCCTAAAGTCACAGATGCCACAGATAATTCTTTCATAAGTTGAAACTAGAAATCATAGGATTATAACTACATGAATTACTGCAAAATGCTGGAGGTAGATTAAAACTAAGATTATGGATTTGATTGCTTGAAGAGCTGCAGGTTTTTACATTAATTGGTATTTCCATTACCAAAGGGATGATACTGTGTTTTAGACCAAAATAAAATACTCATTTATATGAATGTGGTTTATATTTCAAGCATGAGAAAAATGTGTTAACACTTAACTGGCATGAAATGATTTTGGATTTAAAAGGCATGTTCATTGTAGGGTAATCATGTTGATAATGCTCTGCTAACAGGACTTTCATGTGAGAGAATAATGCTGGCCAAGTTAACTCGTTTGCATGAGTTGTGACCAGGACCTTTTAGTGTCATTTTAACAAGAATTCCAGACCAGGAACTACACACCCCTTTGCAAATAACTCTTCCTAAAGTAGTATTCTTAGTTACAGAAGAGTGTGTACATGGATGAGTGCAGGTTTTTAACTAGAGAAATGTATCATGATGAGTAGATTCATTTGTGCATGTATTCCTGTATCAATGACATTTACTTTAGGAATACCTGGAACAACATACCGTTCAAGACCAATTTTGGAGGAGAATATAAATGATTATTTATAACCAGTAGGTCAGCTGGCTTCGAAAGATGAACTCTCTCAGTCATGCAAATGCAAATTTGTGATAAGCACAATCAACAAAACATTGAAAAGTAGCTCATGAGAGATTGAGAACTGGATTTTATCTTCTTTTTTATCTGGAGAGAGAGACAGTAATCCTAACAGTCGTGAGTTGTTCTAAATGTCTGTAGGTGTTCTGATTTGCAGATAGGTCAGTTTCTCCATGTTATCTGTGACAATGTAAATCTCCCCCAAAATTATAAGTAATATTTATTATATTGGAACACATTTTTAAGAATTTATACTAAAATGTATCCCAAATTAAAGGTAGGAGCTGGGTTAAGGTAGGAGCTCAATAAATAGTTTTGAATGAATGGAGTCATTCATATGAGCCTTTAGAAATTAACACAAATGCCTACCAATGATGAGTTTAAAACCACTGTCTGTACTTATTTTGTTTCTTGAAATTTATGAAAAATGACAGCTAGCAGCAGGGAATCATTCCTCCTCCTGAGGTGAGGCTACAGATGGTTAACATAATGCCAGTATGTTGTATAGCTCCTGAATTTGCTCTTGTAACAGACATTTCACATGAAGAGCAGCATGTATTAAAGATGATTGCTTTACGGCTGGGCGTGGTGGCTCACGCCTGTAATCCCAGCACTTTGGGAGTCCGAGGCAGGTGGATCACAAGGTCAGGACATTGAGACCATCCTAGCTAACACATTGAAACCCTGTCTCTACTAAAAATATAAAAAAATTAGCCAGGCGTGGTGACAGGCACCTGCAGTCCCAGCTACTCGGGAGGCTGAGGCAGGAGAATGGCATGAATCCGGGAGGTGGAGCTTGCAGTGAGCCAAGATTGTGCCACTGCGCTCCAGCCTGGGTGACAGAGTGAGACTCCGTCTCAAAAAAAAAAAAAAAAAAGATGATTGCTTTATAAGGGTAAGGGAATAGTTCCTACCACTTCCTACCACACAGTATAACATATTACTCATGAACTATTTGTTCTAAACTGCCAATTCTACTTATTACATAGTAGTGACAGTGACCGAAGAAATACTGTTCGTGTAAGTTTAATTTTTTCAAGTTAAAACATGTAATATACAGAATACTGATACATGGTACTTTATAGCTTTCATGACAAATTTTAAGAGATTACTTCAGCCTTGCATTTTAAGTATAGTAGGTACTTCTGTCCTTGTTTTGCAGATTGGGAAATGGAGGCTCAGATGTTAAAATAAGCTGACCAAGGTCACTTAACATCTGACGTACCACTTATTTTTTAAATAGATTTTTCTTCTTCGTGGTAATTTTAATAATTTTACCCACTTGAGTTGTAATATATTTGATTATACACCATAGGTTGTTTCTTCTATTTACTGGCTAAAAAAATTTAAATTTATAAAAAACTCTCACTATATTGCCCAGGCTGGCCTCCAGTGCTTGGGCCCTTGTCATTTTGGTGGCAAACACTTGTGAATGACTTCCTTTACATGAATGCCTTTGTTCTAAGTTTTCTATTTTCTTGAAACAAAATAATTGTATAAAGCCATCTCAGATTACCATAATTTAGAGAAATCTTTATAGCAGTGCAGCTGAATTATGTGTTTAATAGATACCACTTTTTAAAAAAATCCTGTTTGTGGCATGAAGAACGTTGAATAGAAACATTTCTATATGTGAGATAAGGAAATAGTTTTTTTTTTTTTTTTTTTTTTTTTGAGATATTGAATAGTTTTTTTTTTTTTTTTTTTTTTTTTGTTTGAGACGGAGTCTCGCTCTGTCGCCCAGGCTGGAGTGCAGTGGCCGGATCTCAGCTCACTGCAAGCTCCGCCTCCCGGGTTCGCGCCATTCTCCCGCCTCAGCCTCCCGAGTAGCTGGGACTACAGGCGTCCGCCACATCGCCCGGCTAGTTTTTTGTATTTTTTAGTAGAGACGGGGTTTCATCGTGTTAGCCAGGATGGTCTCGATCTCCTGACCTCGTGATCCACCCGTCTCGGCCTCCCAAAGTGCTGGGATTACAGGCTTGAGCCACCGCGCCCGGCCAAGGAAATAGTTTTAAAGGAAAACCTTAGGATCTAATTATGAAAATACATGATTAAGCTAGGATTTACAAATGAATTCTGTTGCCATAGTGTAGTTTTAAAATTTTTAGAATAATTATAAGAAAATCAGTAAGAAATTGCTTGAGGAATAGTTCTTAGTGGGCAGCCTCCCTCCTTTTGCTGTTCCCTATTTTGATAATCTGTTTTGATTTTCAAAAATCATGAAAACTGCCCTTAAAGAAATTCTTGAGTCGGAGTCTCTCTCTGTCGCCCAGGCTGGAGTGCAGTGGCATGATCTCTGTTCACTGCAAGCTCCGCCTCCTGGGTTCAGGCCATTCTTCTGCCTCAGCCTCCCAAGTAGCTGGGACGACAGGCGCCCGCCACTACACCCGGCTAATTTTTTGTACTTTTAGTAGAGATGGGGTTTCACTGTGTTAGCCAGGATGGTCTTGATCTGACCTCGTGATCCACCTGCCTCGGCCTCCCAAAGTGCTGGGATTACAGGCATGAGCCACCACACCCAGCCCCCAGAAATTCTCTTTTAAAAAATGACAGTGTTAAAATTAAGAAATTACCAGTCCTCAAAGCCAGTCCACATTTTAGTTTGCTGATGGCATGCATTTCTTGATTTACATAACATGAATAACCAAGCGTACCAAGCTGTAACCCTTCATTAGACAAAATTTTTTAACATTTCATTTTTGGCATTCTGTTGGCGGTGAAGTGTGGCAGCTGTTTAAAGAATGCGTGTGGTGGTATGTATGTGTTTGAGAACAAAGAGCCATACTGAAATTACAAAATGATTAAAGTACAATTTAGTAACCCAAATTGGAATCTAGCTGGGATTCATGAGGGATTACTATTCTCCCCATACTTTAACAGGTAGCTGTTTTAACAGAGTATAGGGACTCATACTTTGCCAATGACTAGTAGACTCTCAGCGTAAACAGAGGAAAGAATATTATCCCAAATGTTTACATAGGGTAGTAAATGAAAACTACTAAGGTAAAAAGTTCAGTGCTTTACGTAGATAGTAAACTATGCATAGTATTTTATTTGTAACCCCATGTGTTAAGAAGGGACACTGTTAAAGCAACAATCATTTAAAAGTAACAACCAACAAACTAGTATTTAATTTGGTATTTTAAATAGTTAAAAATCAAATGGAAACACTGTCTAAAGTAACTAAGATAATTCATAACAAAACCCATTAATCCAAGCTCTACTTATTGTAAATAGAATTCACCATGAGCTAACCTAAAATGTACCTGTGGAGATAAAACAAGAGTGTAAGTTAGCAAAGTATTAAATAAGATTTCAGGGAGCCCCTAAATTTATTTTTAAGAACTTTAGAACTGATTCTCTGTATGCAAACACTGATTAACTCAAATTTCTTATAAGTGCATTCATACATGGCCTTGTTTGAGGCAGTGTGTTTGTATTCACTAGCAAAATTCATGTCAATAAAATATTTTTGAGGCAGTTTATTTCCCAGATATTTCACTAGTTTAAAATAGTCATTTCAGTGATTAATCTGATTTTCTATTGAAACCTAAGCTTTTAATGAAGACATGCATCTGAAAATAAGGCAGTTTTTCTCTAGTCTGCTTATTAATAGAAAAAAAATCTTTGGTTTTTAGTTGAAGTGACAGGAAGGATTTTTGCAAAAAGACTAAGGAACCAAAGCAATTAAAAAGCTCTTGATAAGCAGTAGGGAACTCCAAACCCATCAAGGTCAGTAGAGTACCTAAGGCACCTCAGCTTCAGATGCGACAGTCATCTTTGCTTAGAGTTCTGATAATCTATATACATGATTTTTACCATCTCGAGAATATGAAACTGAAAAAGTAACGTCCAACAATGATTACTGTGAATAAGAAAATTATTGTGATAAATGGGAGAGACGTTGGAGACCTCTGTTCTACCTCCCATATTTATAATGAGGAAACCAAAGCCCAGTCACGAAACAGGTGACACCAGTTTGTGTCGACAAATTCCTAATCTGTTTCTGTTAGGGGAGGACAAATTCTAGACTTTTAACTTTGAATGGCTAGTAAACCAAGTGTGAAGGGTTTCAGAGATATGAATTGGAGCCCCCCCAAAAAAATCCTCATAAATCCCCAAAGGCAAGTTCGAAATGTATAATAGTTTACTGTTGTAATTCCTTTATACCATGTGTTGGACAACTTAGCTAATATGTTAATTGATTTATACAATTCCTTTCAATTTTATCTAAAAATAGCAGACCAAAATTAAATAAGAAAGTTACATAAGATTCCATTTGAGCATACATAAGGCCATGATACTTAATGTGAACCACCATTTCTTGGAAGAAAGAAGACATCCAAATGTCTGATGCAGAGAGAAAGTTCCTGGCCAGTCATCCAGTAGACTCTCTCCACTCTTCAATGGAAAGGTGATGCTTATATTTTTAAAAATCTCTACAAAGCTCACATACAACAAGACAGTACATCCTAGATTTGTGACTGATATGAGCATTTAAGGCTGTCATTTTCAAGTATAAAAGTTTAGTGTTCCATTACCCAATCTGTGCAGTAGACATAGCTATAAGCTTAAGTCATGTGAATTAACAGAAGCCCACCAAAGACATTTAAAAAATTATAATTTAGGCAACAGCAAGTTTAAATGTAGGAAAGGCTAGAAAAAAAATGTGTAGATGAGATTGTTTCTCTAAAATGCATTAGGTTGTTCACAATGAAGCTTTGTCTAACACCATTATCTGATGCATGGCATATGCAATAAGGCAGATCCACAGCAGACCAAACAAGGAAGCTGAATTAGGTAATAGAACTAGTAATTAAGATGGTTCACCTCTAACACAGTTCTGTGGCCTGTTCCCCCCAGAGAAAGATTAGAAATGGCTCCAGTGTACCAAATAAGCTTCACAGAAGAACATGAAAATTTTTCTCCAACTTTTTTTTTTTTTTAAGCAGAGCCTTTCACTTAGGGACCAACACATGCACTGCTTGTAGATTAAATAATTCAAAATTACTTCTAGCCTAATGTAATATGGCTGGAGAAAATGGGTCTCTGGAAGCCAGTATTTTGTTTAACTTACATTCTAGATGTAGTTGTCATTCTATAACTTCTGCTGTGGTTCCAACATCTATATCTGAAAGGTGGAAGCAGCTGTTCTGTTACAATTTTCACGTAACATGCTTGGATTCTAGGTCTTCCCTCTTTAACACAACTTAAAGTTTCTTGTGGTTTGGTCAACATACACAATTCTCATTTCATTTGATGTACACAGCCAAAGTGGGAATTACAAAAAAAAAATTACCAACTAGTTCAGAGAGCTAAATTGAGTCCAGCATTATGGCAAAGTCTGACCCAAAATTTTAATTTGTAATTTTAGCATGTGTCTCATGCACTTTGGGGAGCGTCAAACTAAATCTACAATTGCCAGAGCCTTGTTACAGTTTAATGCACATTAACTAAAATGTGTACATTTTTAGTGTTCATGATAAATGCAATTATGACCTTATTACACTTTTGGCATTCTTTAAGAAAGCACATTAAGCTTTAATATAGAAATATTTAGGTTACACTTGTGCTCAAGTAATAATAAAAACATTTGTTCTTTTTTGATCTCATACATTCTCTCCTCAGGTATGGCCCATCTCCTGTACGCTTGGAGCGACCTTTGGCTACGTGGCTGGCCTTGTTATTTCACCACTCTGGATATACTGGAATAGAAAGCAACTTACATACAAGAACAATTAACTGGAGCAAAGGGAGATACTTCTTTGTGCAGATTCTGTAAGGGCTGTGCAGAAATGTGTATGGTCAAAGCCAAGCAGTTCCATTTACAGCACTGTTTTTTATGTAGTTACAACATGATGTGATTGTAGCTTTTTAAACTATGAAACCCCTGAGAGATTGTACCTTCTAGTTGAAATAAAGTATTTATAATAGATTGTGGCTTCAGATGCTGCTTACTGCTTCTTAAACCTTTAAGGAACATTCTTAATAACCTTTATAGAATTCTGAGGACAGGTTTTGTTTTCTTTCAAGTTTTGAACTGCTTCATTACCTATAAAAGGTCTGGGTATAGCTGTAGCATTTCATTTGCTTTCTGAGAGAAATGGACAATTTCCTTGGCCACTGAAGATGTTTCTCACGTAATTAAACAACAGTTTATACATCTTGATCCTATTCTTTTTTTTACAGTGTGTTTCTTTGGAGTTAAAATGGCTATGATAGCCTCATCAAAAACAGTCTTCAATCCCTTCTGGGTTAAAGCTGAACATTCCACATAGCAGCATGCTCCTATCTGGGAGGGAGAAAAAAATCACAAATATATAAAATCATGTTTATACAATTGGCATGACATAAACACATCATTATAAAGAAAGTTATACAGCTATGCAAAAAGAATACATTCATCGTCCATGTTCATAACCCCCGAGAGGGGATTTTAAAATACTAGTATATGTCCTTCCAGACTTTCTATGAAAAATTATTTCATTCACCACATATTTACTGGGTATCTACTATATGTCAAGCACTGTTTAGGTCCTGGGGATATGTCAGTGAACTGAACGAAAGAGCAGAGTCCCTGCTGTGTGGCGTCCACATGTGCTGACATCTGCTGGGTGAGAGGCACACGGGAGGGAATACAGAGCAGATGGTGGCAAATGCTGTGGGGAAAAAGCAGAGTGAGGGAGGCAGGGAGTGCTGAGGACAGTGGTAGTGGGGGTCGGGGGAGGCTTCTCAATGGGGAAGTTTGAGCAGTGAGGGATACCTAGGGGAAGAGCTCCAGGCAGATAGATCCTGATGCAGGAGCATGCCTGGAGTAGTCAAGGAACAGGATCACACTGAGAAAGTGGTATTTGAGCAGAGACCTGAAAAGAGTGAAAGAATGAATCATATCCATAGGGAAGAACATTCCAGGCAGAGGGAGCAGCAAAAGTACAAAGGTTCTCAGAACTTTGAGGGAACAGCAAGGAGACCAGGAGGCCTGGGGAACAATGAGTAAGGCAGAGAGGGAACAGAGGCTTGTAGGCCACAGTGCGAACTTTGGCGTTTAATCTGAGCTGGGGACCGGAGGATTCTGAGCACAGCGGTGACATGATTGGGCTTACATTTTTAAGACTTACCCTGGCTGCTGTGTTGAGAACAGATGACCATGGGGCATAGGCAGAAGCAGAAAGGTGAGTTGGAAGCTATTCCAGTAAAGCAGGCCAGAGATGGAGGAGGCCTGAACCAAGTGATACAGGGAAGAGATAGAAAAAAGTGTCTGGATTCTGGATATGTTCTGAAGATATGTTGTGCTAAAGGCTAGATGTGTGGTATGAGAGAAAGAGCAAGGGCAAGTATGACCTCAGGCCTTTTTTCTTTTTTTTGAGACAGTTTCACTCTTGTTGCCCAGGCTGGAGCACAATGGTTTGATACCGGCTCACCACAACCTTCACCTTCTAGGTTCAAGCGATTCTCCTGCCTCAGCTTCCCGACTAGCTGGAATTATTAGGCATGCGCCACCACGCCCAGCTAATTTTGTATTAGTAGAGATGGCGTTTTTCCATGTTGGTCAGGCTAGTCTCCAACTCCCAACCTCAGGTGATCTGCCCACCTCAGGCTCCCAAAGTGCTGGGGATTACAGGCGTGAGCCACCGCGCCCAGCTGAGGGCTTTTGACCCGAGTAACTGGGAGGACAGCCTCGGAGAAAGAAGAATCATATCTTAGACATGTTAATTTTGAGATACTCAACCACCTAGATGGACTTGGTGAGTAAACAGCTGGATAACCAAATTGAGAATTTAGGAAAGAGGTCCAGGCTGGAGATGGAAGTCTAGGAATCTTTGGTTGTAGACTGTGCGAGCCACAAGACTGACAGCAGCCCATTTAGGCCTAGGGAGTGTAGCTATAGAAGAAGACATCCACAAAGCTGAGTGCTCATCCCTGGGGCCCTCCAACCAGGGACTAAGGAGGTAAAGAGATGGAGCAGAGTCCAATGAGAGGGGAGAAAAACCAAGAGAGGCCAAGTGAAGAAAGTTTCAAGAAGGATGCAACTGTGCCAAATGCTGATGAGTCTAAAAATGAGATCATATTGTCTTGCAACTACTTTTTTCCCTTTAACTATATAACAAATATGAAATCTTAACAGATATTTTAGTATGAAGTTTTAATGGATTGGAATTTCTGCCATTATAAACAATTCAGCATCTTTGTAGCTCTCTTTAAGCACACCCCTAATAATTTACTTTTATTATTAAATATAAATGGGCAAATTATAATTTTATATATGAGGTACAAAGCAATATCTTCTCTATATATACATATACACACACACACAAGTGAAATGATTAAATCAACATAATTAACATCTATCACCTTAAATACCATTTTGTGTGGTGAGAACATTTAAAATTTACTCTTTTAGCAATTTTGAAATATGCAGTCCCCCCTTTTTTTTTTTTTTTTTTTTTGAGAAAGGGTCTCACTCTGTCATCCAGGCTGGAGTGCAATGGCACTATCTTGGCTCATTGCAACCTCCACCTCCTGGGCTCAAGTGATCCTCCTGCCTCAGCCCCCAAGTAGCTGGGACTACAGGCATGCGCCACCATGCCCGGCTTTTTTTTTTTTTTTGGTGGAGATGGGGTTTCACCATGTTGTCCAGGCAGGTCTCCAATTCCTGGGTTCAAATGATCCACCCACCTTGGCCTTCCAAAGTGCTGGGATTACAGGTGTGAGCCACTGCACCCAGCACCACCATTATTAACTATAGTTAGCATGCTATGCAGTGTATCTCAAAAAAGACATATTCCTCCTGTCTAACACTGTACCCTTTGACCAACATCCTAATGATTTGCTTAGGATAAACTCTTACATATGGAATTGCTTGATCAAAAGTGTCCATGATTTTAAGGATTTTGCATATTGTCAAGACTGCTTTGATTCAACGACCAGTACAACAGAGTGTCCATTTTACTACACCCTTGGAATAGCAGGTATTATAATTAATTTCTCATTTTTTGCCAATTTTATAGGTGCAAATTGAGCTTACATTTGACTGCTAATAAGTTTGAACATATTTTCTATCTTCAATGGCAATCTGCATTTTGGGGGGTAAATTTTTCATTGTTAGCCCATTTTTCTATTGGAATCTGTGTCTTCTGATTAACTCATATGCAAGAGGTTCCTGTATACTAACGATGTTAACCCATTTTTCTGCCATCCATCTCAGTTTATATGACTTTTCATTTTATTTCTGGCATTTGATGTGGTATTAAGTTTTTATGCAGTTAAATCATTAATATTTTCATTTATGACTTTTATCTTTATAACATTTAGAAATTCCTTCTCTCCCCAAGATTACAAAATTGAATACATGGAATTTCTGAAGTGATTTGTTAGTAAAGCCATTTATTTTTTGCTTTAGGAAAAACTGTCCTCCAAAAGTTTTCTCGCTTTCTTTTGTGTCCTGATATTACATTTTAAAAGACTATCTATGGGCTGGGCACGGTGGCTCACACCTGTAATCCCAACACTTTGGGAGGACGAGGCAGGCGGATCATGAGGTCAGGAGATGGAGACCATCCTGGCTAACACGGTGAAACCCCGTCTCTACTAAAAATGAAACAAAAAAAAAAAATTAGCTGGGCGTGGTGGCGGGTGCCTGTAGTCCCAGCTACTCGGGAGGCTGAGGCAGGAGAATGGCGTGAACACGGGAGGCGGAACTTGCAGTGAGCTGACATCCGGCCACTACATGCCAGCCTGGGCGACACAGCGAGACTTCGTCTCAAACAAACAAACAAACAAAAAAGACCATATATGGATTCTGGTTCCACAAAAGTCCTACTGAAATCACAACATGTAAAAAATAGAATCCAATAATGTTAAGGCCAAATGGGAAAAAAGGGGAAAAAGTAAACCTAGCTTTGGGGCACAAAGGAAGATAAGCTACAAGGTACTACATGCATCACTGTTTTATATATACTTTTAGAACTTTCGTATTTCTATCCTTTTTTCATAAAAGGATTGGAGAAATTTCAACACATTTCTTTGCAAACCTAGTCATCACCTTTTTGGTTTTAACCACAAATTTAAACTGTCATCCTAGGTGGCTCCACTGTCTAACTCAATGAGTCTTAAGACAGAGCTGATTTGGCACAGTGCAAATGTTTAAGTAATGAAGAAGGACTGAAAGTAGAGACATGTATTTCCGATGCTTTTTTCCATATGTGACGTTTTAGGAAAATATCACTGGCAATGTAGTACAGGTGTAAGAGCCTCAGCCCAGGAGTCAGGCTTTGGACTGAAACCCAACTCTGCCATTCATTACCTGCAGGATCTTGGGCTAATTATCTGACATCTCCAAGCCTCCACTCTCTCTTCTGTATAACAGGGGAAACAGACCTACCTCACTGAGTTCATGCAAGGATTAAATGAGATAATGCATGTAAAGCACTCAGCAGAGTGCCTGGCATACAGTAAATGCACAATAAATGTTAGCTTCTATTGTTATCTTAGCGTCTTTTACATTCATGCTTAAATTCTGTAAGTGTTCCATTACCTCTTTTGCTAGTTTCTGTCCTTGTTCCACACATATAGGTTTTTCTTTCATATCATTCAGTCTTGCTAAAGTTTTGGGGTCATCTCGGAGATCAATCTAATTAAGAAAGGTCAATAATGTCCGATAATATTACAAATCTTTAAAGAAAAATCAAAGCATGTAATCCCACTTAATCCCCACATACCAAAAAAAGATAAAATAAAATAACTTAATTTTTAAAATCCGGGAATAGAATTGCTTTCTTTTGGCACAATTTTTTCCAAAAATATGATAGAACTCATTAACTTGCAGTTGAGATTAAACACTTATATCATTTGCTCAGCTTTGGGACTGTTTATCTGAGAGCAACCTCTAAGACAGGCCAAAGAGCTTATCCTAAAATGAGGAAAATCAAACTAGACATACCTGAGTTCCTATTAATAAAAAGGGTACATTTGGTGCGTATTCCTTAAGTTCCGGTACCCACTCCTCTTTCACATTTTGAAATGAGGCTGGATTTACCACCGAGAAGCATATAAGGAAGACATCGGTCATTGGGTAAGATAAAGGCCTCAGACGGTCATAGTCTTCCTAAGGAACAAAGAAAAGCCTCATTATGTATTTACATTTCTGTTGTTTACTAATAATATGTATATTAGATTACATGGTCAAAGATGCAAATTCAGGACTACTCCACTAGTGGAATGTATGGCAGTCTATGTAAAATCAGATAACTCTGTTTTTGTTATTCTTCCTTGTGAAGTTCTGAACACCCATGAGGTTAAAAAAAAAAAAAAGACAGTATCATTAACAATGACAATGAAAACTTTGGAAAAATACATTATGATCACTAATGCTGTCACTAAAAACATTTTGAACTAAAAAGTTTGCACAAAGAATTGAATATAGCTAGACATTGCCTAAGTATTATAATTTATAATAACTAATACATACTGAATATTTACTATGTGTCAGGCACTAGTCTATATGCTCTCTCATGGATTACTTATTTAATCCTTATAACAACAATATGACACAAGTACCCTTAATCCTGACTTTCATTTGAGTAAACTGAAGCACAGAAGTTAAATTACTTGTGTAAGGATGTACAGCCAGTAAGTCAAGGAGCTGAGATGTAAATCTTGCCAGTGTTTACTCCAGAGTCTATACTCTTAACCACTATACAGCTTCACTGAGACCTTCAAGCTTTGCTTTCCTTGTTTCTATAGTTTTATTAATTTTGTGTGTGTGTGTGTGAGAGAAAACTTAAAAGAGAAACATATACAGTAAATCCACCAAAATCCTCCTTTACTCTCCAACTTCCATTCCCTCTACCTAATATTTTCATGTTTATTCTTCCAATTCATTTTCTATGCATGAGTATACCAATAACTGTACATATTCGTACGTCTGTATATAAAATGAAATCATGTAGTACTTGTTGTTCTGCACTTTCTTTGTGTTGGACATCTTTCTAAATTAGAATACGTTAGACTACCATATCATTTTACACTGTTGCTTCAGAGTCCCCAGAACAGCTATACTCCTGATGGTTATTTTAGTCTCTATCACAAAAGGCAGTGAATATCCTTTTTTGCATAGACTATTTTATGTGACACAAAATTCTACTTATTTACATTCTCGAGAGTGAACAGAGTCCGGATTCCATTTTTGGCACAGCTAGACTCTCATCTGGTTTCAAAGAAACTTTATTTTTAGCCTGGGCCACCTCCCCTCTTAAATGACTCGCTTCACTACAGAACTACACAAATGTGGAACTAAGGGAATATTAAAAACATCATCTTCCACTTGCAGTTTCAGCAGTAGTATTTCCTCGTGGAACAATTTTCCTTTCATGCAATTTTCTGACATTTTTCATAATATAACTTTCAACTCAAGTATGTTAATGTCTCAAACCCTTGACTGGTGGGTAACCCTTTTGTTTTTTTGGGATGCTTTTGGAGAGCACACCTATAATCTGGAGCTGTGGGCATGAAAAGATTGCTCAGGTGTTGGCTATCACAGGATGAGAGGGGAAACGCCACCCCCAGTCTTCTGCAACTTTTATTTTTTAAAGTGGATGCCTCTAAATGGTTTTGATTAAAGCCGTGCTCTGGCGTTAAGAAATTCACAACGAAGACATCAAATAGGGCGGGTGTGAAACATGTTACACCCCCAGACAGTCACTAGAGGAAGACTTCTTGAAATTTTAACGTGTTTAAAATCAGTTTGTGTTAAACAGTACAACTGGGTGCCTTATATGAAGTTTCTGGGCTCTACTGCCTGTTTCAAACTGCAAGTCCATAAAAGAAAAAAAAAAAAAAAAAAAGAAAGAAGCAGTATTTCATCTTAGCATCCCACCCAGCAACTCCACACTTCGGAGCAAACCTGCAGTTGGCATGGCCGGGTAATGGGGTGTTCTCATTAAAAAGCACTCCTCATCCATATTTAGATTTCCAATTTTCACAGACATAGGAATGGGGAAACGATCCCATAGGATCATGAGGAATAAATGAAATAATGCAACTAAAGCACTCCGCATAGCACCTGGCACATCAAAGTACTCTTTCAATGCTTAAACATAAGTTCTTTATCCCATGGGAAACCGAGTCTCTTATTCCTCTGCAAATCCACGCAGGGTCCCCTGAGTGCCCCACTTGCCTCAGCTTTGCAGCTCCCTCCAATCACAAAGAAGTCTTTTAGTAAGAAATAAAATCAAAACACACAAAACTCAGGTCTCTTGAGATAGTATAATTTTCAGATGAATAAAAGAGAATGATATATTATTACTATACTAATTAGTCACTTAGCCTTAAGACTATTTAAAATGTAACAAAAACGGATTTATATTTAAGAAAGCCAAATTAGAGATTTTAATGGAAATTGTACTTTTCAAGCAAGTTTACCTCCTCAGGGAAACAGAAGTGTGCACTCTTTCTCTAGTGAGAGATGACAAGAAATAAAAACTAATTGAATGTCATGTTCTCTAGAGATGCTTCACAATATTAATCCAAGTATTTTACAGAGGGTAAACATATTGTACAGATTCCTTTCATAACCACAGTGAATCCTGACTTTCCTCCGTGAGAGACATGTGGGCACAAAGGAGGACAATTCGACCAATCATTTCTAGATATTTCTTAAATTGCAGGTTTTGTTTGAATAATTAAAATGTGAAAAACTGGGGCTATTACAAAATAAAACACACACGCATGTTTAGACCTCCTCGGAGAGAAATTTACTTCTTAAGTCTGAACTATCTAAAATGAATTTCTTCTGCCTATCATCTCTGGCTAAATAATTGGCAGTTAGTGGCTGGGCGTGGTGGCTCGTGCCTGTAATCCTAGCACTTTGGGAGGCCAAGGTGGGACTCTTGAGGTCAGAAGTCTGAGACCAGCCTGGCCAATATGGTGAAACACCATCTTTACTAAAAATACAAAAATTATCTGGGCATGGTGGTGCACACCTGTAATCCCAGCTGTTCGGGAGGCTGAGGCAGGAGAATCACTTGAACCCAGGAGGCAGAGGTTGCAGTGAGCAGAGATTGTGCCACTGCACTACAGCATGGGCAACAGAGCTAGACACCATCTCAAAAAAAAAAAAAAAAAAAAGGCAGTTAATACAAGAATGAGACCTTTCTACTTCTATCCAGCTGAGTAATTAGAAGTCTAATAATAGATAGCAAATTTAGAAAATAAATTATCCCCTGTGCATACTGTACCCTGCATCATATAAAATGGTTTATATCCATCACACAGTATCCTGAGTGAATTTAATATGAAATGTGGGATTTGGGAATGAATAAGTGGAAGTGTGCAGAATCTTTCATCTCAAGCCATGTATTTTATATTTGAGAACACAAAGAAGTCAAATGTAGAGCAACTGCCCTTACTTTTAAAAGATCAACTTATCAAAGTCACAACTTCTCACAGCCAACTCTCCAGTGTCTTCCTAATTAACAAACCAATTATATTTTAGTTCTAATTTTAAAATGTAGGTATTTAAACATTTCAGCATGGTAACTAGAACATTCTCAGGAGTAGAGAAAAGTGTATTGAAGACAACTGTTCAACATGAAAACAGTGAAAGAACTGGTGAGTTTAGTCAACATGGCTGTTGGACTACATGGCAGACTCTTTAGCTTCTTACCAACTGGCTAAGTACCAGAAGTATCAAGTTTTTAAGTGTGTTCTGGCAGTTTAGTGATCAGGCTCTCCCTCATTGAAGAGTCCTCGATATGTGATAATGACAACCTTACTTCAAAAATATCACACACGGCCAGGCGCAGTGGCTCACACCTGTAATCCCAGCAAACTTTGGGAGGCTGAGGTGAGAAGATTGCTTGAGTTCAGGAGTTTGAGACCAGTCTTCCCAATGTGGTGAAATCCTGTCTCTACTAAAAATACAAAAATTAGCTGGGCATGGTGGCACATGCCTCTAGTCCCAACTACTCAGGAAGCTGAGGTGGGTGGATCACTTGAGCTCTAGAGGTTGGGCCTGCAGTGAGCCATGAACATGCCTGGGTGACACAGTGAGACCCTGTCTCAAAAAAAAAAAAAAAAAAAAGAAAAGAAAAGAAATCACACACTTACCACCTGACAGGAATCTGCAAACAAAAAACAAAAGAAATGTGTTCTGAGAGGAAACAAAAGCTCTTCCAATGCCACAGAGAAATGTAGCCAACGACCATCAGCTGGAGACCCCTTTCTGTGTGCAGCTCAGCCAGCAGTGCCCATGAGCCTCTCACTTCTGCACCGTTCTTTGTCCCCTTCATGTGGACCTGGGTGTTCCCTCCTACCTTAGTGATCTCTGTTTAAAATGCATGCTTTTAGGATGGGTATGTCTATTTTAAAATACATATCCAAAACATATTTTAAATAAAAACACTCACATTGGATGATTTACCTGGTGTCATGCTTTGTTAGCTAGAATGCTATCATGTGTCATTTAAAAGCAATCAGTAAAGATTTACTGAGACTCTAGCCCTCTGGAGCTTACAGTTTAGTTGGGAATTCAAGACATAAACATATAAAAAGACAGCCATATACAACAATAGGACGGAATAAAAATGTAAGCTGGAGCAAGTGAATATAGAAATGCTTAATTTAAGAAACATTACTAAGCACCTACTATGTGCCCAGAACAGTGCTAACTGCAATAAATAAAGGAGGGAAGGACGAGATTCAAATAACATCTATTTGCAAAACACCTTATACACATTTACAAAGCTCTCTCATTAAGTATCTGTATGTTAAAAATAAGGCGATGCACTCGAATGTGCAGCAGTGCCCACAATGTGCCTGGACACCACTCCAGCGCCTTGCAGACCTCAAAGCCACAGCCCAGAAAAGGAAACTGTAGGCTGGTGTGGCAACATGCGTCAGGTTAGCACCCAAGAGGAATAATTCTGATAGGTGAGGAGATACACACAAACGCATAACGGCTTTCGCTCTTAGGAAGGTCATGGTAAGGTAGACAAGATGTATATGAACATGATAGTACAAGTTAGAATAGTAATGAGAGGACACTAAAGACTTCTTGGAAGAGGTACTTGAGTTGGTCCTTACAGAAGAGAGAGAACTTGAACGTAT